GTGAAAAAATCACTTACTATGATAAATGGGATAATCACAGCAGAATTTTCCCATGTACCCAGATAAAGGAGAGCATGTTCAGTGTAGCTGCTGACCGCTCATTATACTTACCCTTATATGCATGTAGTATGTCTTTTGTATTATGTAATTGTTTATTTTAGAACAAAGAAAGATCGACGCAAACTGGTTATCAAAGTGCAACGAGTTTTACCTGCTACTTTCATACTTCCGCCAGCTAGGCTTGAGCAACTGTTGGATCAAGGTAAGTCGTGTTTGTGACGAGTTTACCGTCTATTTTTTTCGTGTTCAGCACATGCTACCCAAGTCTCAAAATGTCGGGTTCACCTGAAGAAGGAAACATCAGAAGGCTTAGAAGCTCCAGATATCTTCGTCGACCACAGCTGTCAGAAACGATCGTCGCGGGGTTATGTCAATACCCAGGTGAGTGGGATTCTCTTATGTATTGTGACAGGTGATAAAATACGACTGGTTTATGCGTTTTTTGGTTGTATCATTAGAATGGCAAATGATACTAGGGGCTAGTACTTTCAATGAAAAGGGTGCAGTTTATGACCAACTAAATGGCTATTCAAAAAGTAGATTTCTATTCGTGCATTACATTCTGTTTACTCTCGAGGAGTGTCATAAGGTAGTACTTTAAACCTCAGTGCTCATTTATTCTTTTCAGACCATTGGCGACCATAAGTGTGAGGTATGGTGCGTCGAGTTCTCGCCTGACGGTAAGCTACTCGCCAGTTGCTCGAAGTCAAGCCGCATTTTTATCCACACGGTATGTTTGAAAAGCAGTAACATTCTTTTCTTCTCATGCTTTCTCTCCAGCATCACATAGTTTTTGATGCATTACCTCGGTCGAGGTTTCTGGTTATGAACCCTTGGCTTTTGTGCTATCTGTACTCTATAAAATGTGTCAGCGTTTGAGTCTCTAAGAGCGAATAGGCTTATTGCGTCACAAAGTGTAATCATGGGTCATCGATTAGCTCCATGTTATGTTTTCGCGAATGGCATTCTCATGTATTGGGGATTTCACTCTAGCAAATCCTCGTTTTATATTCGTCAGTAAACTATGTGAGACTGTTGCAGGTTGCTTCCGGAGGAGAAAAGGTTGAATTGTTACATCTCTTATCTGGTTATGACAATGCTGATGTCGTGTCATGCATGAGTTGGAGCGGCGACAGTAAATTGTTAGCTGTCGCTTGTACCGAACAAGCCCCGTTTGACGTGAGTGTTTACCCCTAACCTGTCTAATCTTCTGAGCGCTTTCATGACTCCTATGACGAGGCTCATGTATGATATATCGTTTACATTTAGATCATGGTTTTCGCCGCTAAGGAAGGGCGAATGCTACGCACCATTGACAACTTGCCGAATTCTCTTTTTACCACGTGTGCCTTTTTCAATGCTCCCAACTATTATCTCATTGCCGGAGATGAAAGAGGGCATTTACAGATTTGTGTGAGTCTGAACTCGAGTTTCTGTCGGTATTCTCTTCGTGTGACTTTGTTCAATGATTTTTCTGCAGGATATCAAACAACCCTCAGAAGGACATGTCCTTGGACTTTGGGAAGGTTACCGCATCCGCGGTGTGTACGGCATGAGCGACTGTGTCACAGTTCTCGCCTCCGACACGCATCATAGGTGAGGGGTTTACACATTTCACCAACAAACGGTGGGAATTCAAAAAAACATATTGTCTTCTCTTCAGACTTCGGCGGTACCGTTTCGATAACAGAGTCGACGAGACAGTGTTTACAGAAGAGGTACCAATCATCTCTTTCCGGGTACATCCCAATGAGAGGTTGGTACTGTAGTGGGCGATATGGGGCTACCGTAACTCAGACTTCTCTAGGTTCGTCCTCACGACTACACAACGAAACCTTCGAATGTGGGATTTACAATCGAAGACACTGGTTAGGAATTTCTATGGAGCTCAACAAGGAAATCTCGTAATACATGCTGGTTTTGGTGGAATTAACCATGGTTACCTGGCTACAGGAACTGAAGGTAGTGACGAGAAAAATCAATCGACATGCCTAAAAAAGCGGTTTTCAGATCACAAAGTTGTAATATGGAGCATCGGAAACAGCAAGCATACTATGAGGTTACGAGGACACAAGCGTGTAGTCAACGGAGTCACTTGGAACCCGAAATATCCCACGTAAGCTACTTTCGCTATGAACCATCGGTTATATTGTAACGTGAGGCTAAATCGTATGGATTTACTGTGAGATCAGTGCTCTTTTATGTTTTAAACAAAATTGATATTTTGTTGGAGGCTTTAATGCCGAATTTGGTGGCTTCTGGTTGTCTTGCTAGGTGTATGCATGTTCATCTGATTACCGCCATCGAGTATGTTCTTCAGGTTATTAGCGAGCTGTTCGGAAGATATGACAGTGCGCATATGGAATATAGCTCGTAACGATCTGCCTCCTGAACCACCCACGTCGAAAAAGAAGGGTCACAAGAAAAAAACGGGTAAACAACAACCGGCGAATGGCAAGGACAAGAAAAATGGAACCACATGACAAAGAATCTCATCCATGGTTGTGTCCACTTTCTCACTGTCTGGTCACTTAAATGGTATTTATGTATCGTATTTCAGCACTCGTACTATGTCACGAATCGTGTCTTTACAATTTCATAGGGTATTTCTTTTAGCGTTGAAAGCGTCCGTTAGCTTTTTTT